CTGAGAAAGCGCAAACTCCGAGGCCAGGATCTGTATAACATGTCTGATCTGAGTAGAGTTGTTCTGAGCCACAAACTCCCGCACTAGTTTCTCTATTTCCAACGCTGCTACCTTCCTTTTCTCGTACAGTTTGTCATTTAGCGCTCTCACAATATTGGGCGTCAAAGGCGAAAAGTCCTTCTCCGTGTTCATTTTGACTGCACCAAATGTACCCAATCTGGTGCACTTTTATCTTCGGTTATGTGCAATAAGCCAGACTGCATTTAGCGCAGAAAGAATGAAAATAGAGCGTTTGTATTAGCAAAGTGAGAAGCTTCCCGTAATACAGTGCAGCTGACCGGTTACATCCGCCGGAAATACGTCACGTTTGCTACATTTATTTGGGCCCCACTTTGTTTATAGCATCGTTAGCACCGTGAACAACACCACTGTGCCAGAGTGCTACAAGTGTCATTTTTAACAGGTTGTGTTTCATATGTGCAAGAGAAAATACTCCACTCTGCTTTTGAAATGGCGACTCGTCTTCCAATTCACTCACAGCTTTCCACCATTATGGAGAATATGGCAAAAACTGTACTTAGTCAGGTCTGCAAACTCGTCGATGAAGATACCGCTGAGCTCCGACTCGAGTGCTCTCGTCTCCTTTTTGCCAATTCTGCTTTGTCAGAAAAAGTGAACAATTTGCAGTGTGAGCTGACCGTAGTGAAAACCAATGCCTCTAAGTCGAGAAAAAGTCACCGGACTGTCGGGGTGCAGACAGTCAGCAGCCAGGGAGGGGACCATCATGGTACTTTCATAGTTCTCGCATTATACCACCTATTAGTATTTTTTTATATTTTAACTTAGGTTTATCTTTCCTTTTAGATACTAGCCAACCGACAATAGAGAAGATTTTTGGTAAGGACTGGTGTAAAGATCTTTGGAAAGACAGGGATCCGTCTGCGCTGGATAAAGTGGCAGACTCTTTAAACGATGCATGTGACAAGGTGAAATAGTATTCTGTTGTTTACTTTGAGGTTGCATAAACACTCTTAACATCAATAAACAATGCTATTAGACTGATAATAATTTAACATTGGCAGTAACCATTAGTGTAGAACTGATGGAACAATTTTAACTCCTTATTTTAATGAGTAAGAACATTGTTATAAAGACACAGTGGGAAGTCACATTGAAGCACTGCAACAGATAAATCCAAATATTTTAACAATTTACATTATTTAGAACAGTCAGAGCTGATTAGTTTTGTTGTTGTTTTTTTTAGACTAATGCTGTAATGAATCAAGGTGCTGATGAGAAAAAGGACTGCACAGTGGCGTCCAGCAGCCTCCAACCAAATACGCATGGAGCTAAAGGTAAAATTGGAAGTTTGAACCCTTATACAATATACAGTATACAGCTGGAATTAGGTCTTTGTACTTGTGTGTGTTTACAGGAGATGAAGGCAAAGACACGGCCACAGAGATAACTCGAAAATCCAAACGGCAAGGTACACATCCCTGCACTGTCCATCAGAATGAGAAAAGTTCCAATAGTCTGGAAGACAACCCCATGCAACTGGAAGACTCTAACGACACAGATGGCATCAGCACATATACCATTCCCATTGAGGATGACGAGGAGGACGATGATGTACAGTTTGTGCACGAGAGTCAACAGGGACCGAGCCAAAGCATTCCTACAAACTCTGATGATGTTGACAATCTGGACGACCTTGATACATTTGATAACTTTGACTTTGTTGACACAGTGATGGATTCAAACCAAAGCAGTTTTACATGTCGTATATGTAACCGGTCATTCTTCCATAAGGGCACGCTCACGCATCACATGAAATCACACAAGTCAAACTTCTGCCACATTTGTAAGCAGGAGTTTCCTCTGGGACAGCTGGACACTCACGTCTGTGTCCCTCCTGTAGCTTCACACAAAGTCAGTAAGTCCTGTGAGCTGTGTGGAAAAGTGTTTGCTAACCCGTCTGCCCTGAGGATCCATTATGTGGTCCACACTGGGGAGAAGCCCTACAGATGCAGTATTTGTGGCAAAGGGTTCACACAGAAAGGGAATCTGAAGTGTCATCTACGCATCCACTCTGGGGAGCGGCCATTCCAATGCATGTGGTGTGGCAAGACATTTACACAGAAAGTTAACCTTAATCATCATTTAATGTCTCACAGAAATCAAAATTCTGCTGAAGAAAGCAGTAATGAATGAAAAAATTGCATATATTAAGTACCTCTGAGTGACGGAACGCTAACTGTATATTAATGTATATGGTAGACTTGTTTTACTTGAGAAAGACTACAAAGAACCATGTAGCAAAATGTCCTGTCTTTTGTGGGTTTTTATTGTCGTGTTGCATCTTGTGTACATATAAAACACAAGCCAATAAAACATTTATATATCAATGAACCTTAGAATGTTTATTTGTTTATTGTAAAGGGGGAATATGGTATAACACACAAATTGCAATTTGTGGTTAGCATGCAGGAAAAGATCCAATCCTGCCATCTACACATCAGTGTGGAAAGACTTAAATAAATGAATCTTTTAGAAACTTGCATTATAGAAACATGAACACAGTATTATTAGCAATAGAACTGAAATGTAAAGAAATAAACAGCTAAAAAAAAACTACAAAAATATATGCATGGCTTGTTTGCGCATGCTATAACTCTGATTGATGGCTTTGAACAAAAAATGTGTGAATAAAATCTGCAAGGAAAAAATATAATTTTTTTTCACTGATAAGCTGCTACTTTCTGCTCTGTTGCATTAAAGAATGAGGTATGAATTGTAAGTTGTGATGTTAGAGGTAGTTTATGCTAAGTCTATGCAAATGGAGTATCTGTCCAAAATATTTTAAAGATAAGGTACAGTACACACCTGTTAAAGGCATACTATGAATGGCCATAATGAGGTTATGAGGTTATTACAGTGAACGTGTCATTTTGGTCTGTCGTGCTTTCCTTCAACACAAGCCAAAAGTATGGCGTGGTGCAGTAAACATTTCGTTTGGCATTCCATCTCATTTTGTACATATTTAAATGTAAATGTAGAATCTATGCAGTGTGTTTTTGAGGTGAGCTCTGGGTTTACCTGGCTTTAAAGTGAGGCCATAAGATGCCATAAGCTTTATGAGGTCAGTGAATACACTGATGGTGATTGAGCCCATACTTGTAAGCATAACTTTTTCCACAGTCCACACAGCTGTATGGCCTCTCCCCTGTGTGGGTGCGTAGATGGATGTTCAGAGAACTTTTCTGAGAGAAACTTTTGCCACAGTCTGGACAGCTGTATGGTCTCTCACCTGAGTGCACGCGCTGGTGCAACTTAAGGTATGTTTTCTGAGCAAAACGCTTCCCACAAACTGTACAGTTAAATGGTTTTTCACCTGAGTGTCTTCTAATATGAACTTTCAAACTGCTCAAATAATTAAATATTCTGCCACAAAACAAACACTCAAATCGTTTGTTGGGTTTGATGGCTTTTGGCTGAAAGGTCACATCTTTGGCAGTATTCATGTCTATATTGTGTGAGTAAGTAGACACTGTGGGAACATTAGCAGTAGAAACTAGATTGTTCATTGTAGCTTCTTCTATGAGGTTTTCTGTGGTTAGAGCTGGCTGAGTGCATTGCTGGCTTGTGTTGTGACTTTCAGTCATGAACTGGAAGTTGTTGAGCTCATTTTGGAGCTGCTGCTCAACAGATCGATGAAGCATGTTGTTCTCAAAAATCCCAGCACCTGTAAGGCCATGAAACCAAGGTTATGTAATTTAAAAGTGTACCAAATGAAGAGGTTGCGTTACTTACCAGTTCGAGTTTCTGGTAGTGGCATGTGATGTCCAATGGGGTGATCATCGTAGGTCTCCTCTTTGACAAATATAAGATCTGGGTCTCTATCAATCAAATCTATAGTCTAGAAAAATATTTTAAAAGCATTAAAGCATTTAACAATCATATACTAATCAATTCAAACTTTCTAAACATGCCGCTTACCTGTGCCTGAAGACTTGTCATAGCATCAACAGACTCCTTTTCCCGAGGTAGGGCTTTATCCTCTCTCCATAGGTCCATGCACCAGTCCTTTCCAAACACTCCCTCAATCTCTGGAGACTGGTGCTGCTGATCTAAAAGGTTTTAATTATGACATTTCATTATAACCCAGCACCAAGAAACAAGGCCAAGATAAAAATATACTAAAAATGGCTACAGCACAGCCATGCTACTGTTCAGCGAACTGAGTAAAAAGAAGGCCTGATGTAAAGAGCTCTGCCTCTGACCACATCTGCCAAGTCTGACCTGCGGGATGCCGGGGGGCCATACTGTTGCCATGCAAGGGGTAGGTGTGTGCCTCTTTAGCCGCTCTCAGCTGGACCTCCAGTGAGTAGCACCTCTTCTTCAGCGCCTCGTTTTCAGTCTTGTGCAGAGATATCTCGGTGTGAAGGACAGCGGAACACTCATCGGCGAGGTTGCTTATTTCCATAAACGCTGCTTTCGTTAGCTTTTCCCAGATTGCAGCTAACTGCGTGCGGAAACTTCGACTCGTGCTGTTGCACATCATCTCGACAGTTCGACTGGCGATCCAAATTATTGGAAGATTGCCTCCGCACAGACGTCGAATCTAAATAAATTATCAGCGCCTACTGTGCCGAAAGGGATTGTGGGGGAAATATGAGTTGCGTTGTGACCGTTTTAGCCAGGAGGGGGCGGTGTTTCTCATTATTAGAGAGCGACAAACGCACTTTTTTTTTAACCTGAATCTGTAGCCTACGGTTTAACTGACCTTTTTAGTATTGATACAAACAATAAGTAATAGCTATATTTTAATTTAACAAATTAATGCTGCTTGGGATCACTGGTAAGATCTTGTATAAAGAGCACAAAGTCTAGGATAAAGAGGCCATTTAGTTTGTTTTCTGTAAATTATGACAACAAACAGAAACCACTGAGCAGAGAGTCATTTTGGTGGGTGAAGCCATCAGCATATCCATCTCCTTCTATTAAAGATGGCCTCCTTTGGCACATAGGACATAATTTATTGCGCACTTGAGAAGCCCTCATCCAAATGATCAGGTTCCAACGTTGTCCAGAGGAAATGGGCAGGGCCCCGTGCATGTGCTGGCCCCTGTGCAGGACGCCCTCAGTCACTCTGTGTTCAACTTCTACACATTCAGACTCACTAAGAGGAACCTGCAGAGGACAGCAATAATGTATGGATACAGAAAATAAAGAACACAGCTATACATAATTTGGACATACCTGTCTCATATTGCCAAAATAAAGGTTGCCTTCTGTAAAATCTCTACCCAAAGAAACATTGAGAGTGATTTCAGCATTGTCATAATGATAACTCAAGTCGAGATCCTCATGCATGTCATATTTAACAACAAAGGCCTTTTGGCTGTCCAGGCAGTGTCCTCCCCAGTCTGGATACAGGAGAGAGGTGATTGGATGAAGGTATCGCTCACGAAGAGGAGTAATGAAACCCAGATCAAAACCAAGTTCATTCAGGAGGATCTGTGTTGAGGGAATTTATATTCAGATACAGTAGACTTAGTATTATTTTACCACTGCTTATAATCAGAACAGGGTCAATGCATTACACAAATTACCCCATAGTGGTTCATAGTGTTGGGCCTTCCTTTGGGTGCTGCAGACTGCTCAAAGTGCTCCATCTCCTGAAGCAGCTCTTCACAAAACTGTTTCTCAAACACAGGGAACTGATAAATCCTTTGACCTTTAAAAAAAAAAAAAAGGAAAAGAAAATTTTTATGTGGAAATACCTTCTATATCCAAAACAACAACCACTGTGATCTTTAGGTTATAAATTGGTTATTATTACATGTTTTTTGGCTTATATATTTTAATATAGGTGGACTTTCCAGATTTTATTTGTCCATACCTGGCACTTCATCTAAAAGTTCCAACAGGCCATCTGGACTTGCATTGGTGCCTTGGCAGTACTCCACTATGTGCTTGAATCTTTGTGCAAGGAAAGACTCCTGTGAGATAAAATTAAAGTTTAAGGATGTTTACTTAAAATAACAGTAAAAGCAGTGCATGATACCTTGAGGTGGTAAACATGAGAGTGCAGAGGTTGGTAAATGTCTCTTATAGCAACAGCTCGTTTGGCCGATGTTACACCTAAACACTTTCTTCTGTCCACTTCTTTATAGATCTGAAAGACACAACAATAAAAAATACCAATTTCTGAATTTTAACTTATCATACTAAAGTCTGAAGAAGTCTATTTTCCTAAAGTAAAACAAGGCATATTTGTGACAAGTATATAAGCCCTGGCATTTACCTATTCACAGCAGCCAGAAATGTGTACTATACTATATATTATTATTTAAACTTATATTGATCCTACATGTGTAATTTGTGTAAAAGTACCTTAACAAGGACATCCTCAAACTGTTGCTCTGTCACACACCCCAAGCTGTGGAGCACCTGTAAAACACGCAGTTGAAATACGTTGTTACATTATGTGTAGTTATTATTTTTATTGTATTATTATTTCTTTAACAAACAATCAATTTCACCAAAAGCCCACTGGTTTCCTTATTAATAAAAATATTCTATTCCTACTTTCACTTACAGGACCATAGTCCAGTCTGAACTGCTGCTCCGACACGAAACGAACATGGATCTTGTATTCGTCCAAAAAAATATTGTCAGTGGTAAAACACGCACAGTAATAAAATTTTCTCTCCTCATTTTCATTTTTCATTACTGTAGTTTACTATAAAAAGGGAAAACGAGAAGAAAACACGCAGACAACTACAACCACAACAAACGTCAAGTAGTGTTTGTTTACAAGTTACACTTCCGGTTTGGGTTCTTCAACGTAAATACCTTTTTTTTGTATTTTTTTTCTCTGAGTAACTGAGCATACTGTATCTCTTGCTTTATAATATACACATAAGTACGTTAATTTTCTATTTTCTTTTAGGAAAAAAAAACAAGCTAATTAAAGAGTTATTTACGGTTTTTATTTTGCAGGGTAGACGAAAATGACACTCTTCCCTTGCACTGCCACCTGGTGGTCGTAATACGAAATTAAACATATCTTTCATATTGAATTGTGTATTTGCATTCTGTATAGTTTTTGATCATGCTAATGTTTTTCAGTGCTGTTTTGTAGTTTTAAGACAAAAAAAAATCATACAATTCAACATTAAAATAAACACACAACTATCTTTTTTAAAATTTACATGTATTTACAAACAAAAGAAATTGTCCTACGTCGTCCTATTGATGAATGAGCCACTGAATGTTGGTGCTGAATCATTGCCATAAATGTGCAAAGAAGTGTCTAGATGAACTGCGAGGTGTTTCTTGAGATTACAGTTTTTGGTAAATCCTTTCCCACACTTGATACAAACAAAGGGCTTCTCTCCTGTGTGCGTGCGCTGGTGCATGTCCAAAGTGCACTTCTGGATGAATCCTTTCCCGCAGATAGGACATCCGTATGGCTTTTCTCCTGTGTGTGTGCGTTGGTGTGTGTACAGGTGTCCTTTTTGTGCGTATTTTTTACCACACAATGTACATCTGAAAGGTTTTTCTCCTGTGTGACTCCTCTGGTGTATTTCAAGCTGACTGAAACATCTGAAGTTCTTGCCACACTGCAAACAGCTGAACCTTTTGGTAGAGGAGTTTCTTATGTTAAGAACCTTTACATTCCTACCCGGGTTATTGCCAGGAGGAACTACATTTCGACTCATAGCTTTTTCGTTTTCCAGGTTGGTGCAGGTAGAGGAGAGCTGTAAAGTCCATGCACGTTCACTTCCAACTTGAGGTGAATGATTGTTCACTTTAACAAAATTATCATTAAAGAGAGGAGACTGGCTGTTTGGAGCAAGTCTGACAGTTTGGGGGCACTGAGCTATGTCTGAGCTCACCTGTATATCCGCAATCACAGGCTTTCCTAAACAGAGCAAAGGCATTGTTATTGTTTAAGCCAATTTAAAACAACATATCCTGTATTGTGCAACTACTCACTGTTTTCACCTGTGCTACTCTCATCAGAGATTCCACACTCTACATCTGATGGCTCCTCCTTGATAACAATTAGTTCAGGCTGTTCCTTCACTGGGTTTTCAATCTGCCAAGAACATAATCATTCAAAGTATTAGAGATCAAAGGTGCACTGCGCAACTTCTCTGGTTGAGGTTACACTACTGCAATGAATTACTGTTCCTGGGTAAATGTTGCCAGGAATGTTTCACACAATGGCATTGAACTTATCTATCAATTATCTATTCAGTTGCATGTGTTTTATTGCTCAATAAAACACTAAAAAAGGGCAGGCTTTTCTCTTTACAGATCTGACCCATAACTTGATGGAGATGGAAAAACTGAATGCCATGTAACATTCATGCAAAACAGTAAAATACTTGTTATGAAGACCAACACGAAGCAGACCCTCCACCAGAAAAGTTACACAATGCACCTTTAAAAAATTACCATATTAACAAAAATATACCTTGTAAGCCTACTTACAGACTGAGAATGTTCTGTCTTTTGTTGCAGATTCGTGTCTTCGGTTGAGGAGGTGATGGTCTCTCTTGGACTCTCATCAGGACGCTGTGAGCTGTAAACAAATATAAATACATTATAGATACCATAAATATGAAAAACCTTAAAGCTATATGTCTGAATTGTTTGGGTACGGGGTGTATAGGTCTATTCATGCAGTTGATTCACCTGTTTATGGCAGGTTTTGTCCTGTCAGGCTGTGCCACCAGTCCCCTGTCCGAGGCTCCCCTTACCATTACTCCTGTGGACTCCTGTCTATTACTCTGCGCCATATAAAGTAGTTTCTCCATCAGCTGCAGTTTTTCTGTGAGTGAAGCGATTTCATTCCGCCCCCGATTTATTTCTATTTTAAGCATCTTGGACTCGATCTCCACCAGTTTGCTTATTTCCAGCACAGCAGTTTTGGATAATGCGTCCATGATTGAAGAGAGCTGGTTTTGAAAAGAAAAGACCGTCGACATGATGTGCAGTGGGCTAAAAAAAAACAATTTAACCAAACCGGAGCGCAGTTAAAAGCTGTAATTAAGCAGCAGCAATGACCAGAATTTCTGCAAAGGCAATTTCGTGCAATATGAGCTTCTGTATTTTTAACCCGCGAGTTCCACATGTCGGCCAGGAGGAGGCATTGCGCGTCGCACTCGGAAAAATAATTTTGTGAACTGTAAAAAAGTAATAATAATAAAATAAAATTTTTCAGAATATCTCAATTTAAAGGTAATTTACATGATTTTAGGTTGTTCGTAACCACTGTTCTGTAACCACTGGAATAAATATTTCTTCTCTATCGTCACGCGCTGTGGAAAATGTTTGTGATTGGCTGTCGTTTCAGGAAGTGCAAATTGGATTAAGTTAGCCGACTAATAATCGGCACTGCAAAACGCATGAAACTCAGAACAGGATTTTAAGGTAATTTAATAGACGTTATTAATGCCATGAGTAGAAATGTCACTGCACTTGTTTGATATAATGATGATTTGAATTAGGTTGTTATTTATGACCAAGCATGTTAAAATCTCATTTAAATCGATATTTATGTCAGACTTGTGCACAGCAGTCAGTCACCCCACTTGTGTTAACAGTTCCTCCTGATTGCTCCATCACCTCTCTGTTGCTTCATCCTGTCACAGTGCCACAGTGACAATGGCGGGCAGAAGAGTGGTGTCTTTCCCGTCCTCCGCAGAGCTCGGTCCGGCGTTGGCCAGTCTGGTGACGTCCCGGGCAGAGAAGGCCATTTCCTCCCGGGGCAGGTTCACCCTTGGCCTGTCAGGAGGGAGCCTTGTGTCCATGTTGAGCAAAGAGCTGCTTGCTCTGCCTCAGCTGGACTGCAGCAAGTGGCTCTTTGCCTTTTGTGACGAGAGACTGGTCCCCTTCAATGACCCAGAGAGCACCTATGGTCTGTACCAGGTGGGTCACACTTAGGACTGAATTATACATTATTGCAAATGCAAACCTTTTAAAGCTGAAAGAAAACTGTATTTCTTGTTTCAGAAAGCCTTATTTTCTAAGGTCAACATTGCAGGTAGTGGTGTTCTGGCGATAGATCCATCTCTACCCGTGGCTGAGTGTGCTGAGGATTACTGCAGGAAGCTTAAAGATGTAGGAGGAAATAAAAACTATAACCCCCATTCCATGTATTTTCTTAGTACTCATCATTCTTGTATGTCCTATTGAATCCCACAGGCCTTTCCGGGGGAGACTATTCCAGTGTTTGACTTGTTACTGCTCGGTATGGGACCTGATGGACATACCTGTTCCCTCTTCCCAGATCACATTCTTTTAGAGGTAAAGACCAAGTACAAATGCAGTATTTAATGTTTTAGTTTTTTTTTTATGTGTTTGTTTTGGACTTACTTAAGTTTTACTAACTGCCTGGTCAAATGTATCTGAGGTTATTTACATGCTGGGCTGAATCTACATATACCCAGGTCTCTGTCTGTATTGTGCTTCTTCAAATTATACATTGCATGTAAATTAAGACTTTAAATAATAAAGGTCACCCCCCTAACATCATAGGCCACAATTCTCATGATCATTACATTCATTTAAATAACCATATGTACCACATGTAACTGTGTAACAGGATACCATCCATGTTATTTTTCCATAAAGAAAGACTAATTAATTATATAAGTTTACAATGAAGATGCACATTTGCTAGCCTTTTCATATTCATATCATTTGCTCATTCATATCAAATGTATATGATGGGTTGTATTTGCATTGTATTGTATTTTCAATTAATGACACCATTCCAGTCCTATTCGTTTTGTTAACATCTTGACCCAGTTTAGATTTTGCTTTAATTTTAAGACCTTCAGTTCCCACACACAGATTTAATTTTTTTCTTTAAAACTTAGCAAGACTTCTTGCAATAGGCTTGTGGTTCAAGTCTATAAACGCATCACACATGTGAAACAACAGAGCATCTCAAATTTGCCAACAGATCTGTAAATTTGGGGTAATAAAATATAGAAACATGGTTATTTCAGTGTAAGAATATGAAGCATGTTATTCAGGCAAAGGTTTGACTGTGACCTACTAATCAGAGCCAAGTGGGCGTTGGGGACCTTTGAAGTGGTCTCTTGTCCCCTATTTTACAAATGTATATTTTCTGTACACTGCAAGACACTCCCTCCAGTACGTATAGATTTTTATAGATCCAGGCCAGCGGATTTAAACCTTGTGGTTGTTGAATGTCAGCGCTTGTTACATGCTTATGGTAATTCACATGGTATACTGTTACAGTGCAGGTTTTGTTTGTGGCTCTCACATTTGGTGACTGCACTCATTAAATGTGATAGATGGTGACTCTGGGTTTTCTCTTATTTTAGGAAAATCAAAAGATTGTGGCCCCCATCAGCGATTCTCCCAAACCTCCACCACAGAGAGTAACTATGACCTTTCCAACTGTGAACGCTGCTCGCTGTGTGGCGTTTGTATCCACTGGAGGAAGCAAAGCAACCATTTTAAAGGTAAGTGAGAATAGTAAATGCCATGTATGCCTGTCATTAAAACTCATCACAGACACAGGAATAAAAAAAGGTTTTAATTTAACCCTTAAAGTTAAAACTGTAGCCATGTTCTTGCAGGAAGTGCTGGAGGGCAGAGAGGGTCCCGCACTGCCGGCAGCTCGTGTTGTCCCACAGAGCGGTGAGCTGTTCTGGCTTGTTGATGACCCAGCTGCGGCCTCCTTAACTTTACAAGTGGAAAGACCTGGTTCAGGGGCCAAACTATAGCACTAATCACAGCCCATCAGACTCTAGACTTGGGAACAGTAAGCCTAAGGTGGAAACATTCCTTGTGTAAAATAGATCAACATTATTCCATAAGAAGATAGTGATTGTTTGTAAAAAAATTTTTATGTCATTAAAAGAATTCAATGCATTTACTATTGAGTTACATTTTCTTTGTCACTGCCATACTAAAAATGATAACTAGTATCAATGCCGTATTTTATTTTTCTTATTTGTTTAAATTTTTGACAGCTGTGAGGCCTACGCTATTATGTACACAAAAACAGGATTCCATAAATTCGTTTTTTTTTTTAAATGGCTATTTAATTCGATGTTCATTTTTGTAAATTCTTGCTATATTTCGAGTGTAATTTCAACCTACTCCCACAATGCATTTTGTCCATCATTTTTGTCCAACATTTTGTATTATAAAATATTTTTTAGAAAACAGAACGTGCCAATGTTCTCCATCAAACTGAGAGCCATGGGCCCATCCCCTTTAACCACAGCCCGCCCCTTAAAGGCTCCACTGCGCAGTGTTGTCACTTTTTAAGGAGGTGCGGTTCAGGTTTTATCCGCTGTGATGACCGCGCTCTGTTAAGCGTGTTATGTTTACCGTTAGCGGGTCTCTTGTCTAGTCACGGTTCAGTTTAGTTGTTTATTTTTGCTATGCACGGTCTTGCCTGGCTGCTCGTGGCCCTGTCATGCAGCGGTCCGACCCGCGGGTACTTCTCGGAGGAGCGTTGGAGCCCCGAGTCTCCGCTGCTGGCTCCCCGGGTCCTAGTCGCTCTCATCTGTAGAAACTCGGAGCACTCTCTGCCTTATTTCCTCGGTACCATTGACCGGCTAAACTATCCCAAGGACAGAATGGCGTTGTGGTAAGTCATTGTAATACAGTAAAGTAAAACCATGCTCTGTGCACGTTAGAAAATCATTAGTCAAACACTGTTGCGCAAAACCTGGTAAGAGAATAGAGAAGTGGTTATCTCACTTCTCCCCAAAAGTGGGGAAGGGGACAGACGTGAAGTGTGTAGTGTCTTCATCTGTATACGTGGAGGGGAGGTGACGAGTTCACGAGGATGGACCTATGTATGGACCTACACATGAAATATTAACAAATTTGGATCATGTCTGAACAGGCCATAAATGTCCAATCCCATTCCGACAACAAGCATGTAGTGATGATGGAAGGGGTGGGTCTTTTTGGATTTTTGCATCAATGTAGCGGCACATTATATTGCTATGTTGTTACAGTATTTTTTCTTAAATTAAACAAAACAGAAAAAAGCGAAACAATTACTTTTAAAATGACACTTAAGACACATATTTACACAGGTACCCACACATTCAAACGAAGGGTGTCCACTGTTCGATCCCCTTTAATCTTATTATGTTGCTTTATATATAAGTTTTATTGTTAATCATTTACTTTTGTTAGATAAAGTTTAGTCCACAACTTCCTAAAATCCTAAAACCATAGTGTGAATATGCAAACACTAGTGCAATGTTATAAACACTGCACACTGAGGTTTGGAGCTTTTCTTGTAAACTAAATACTGAATTCAGAAATGGACAAACTGTCATTTAAATCTTTTACAGTTGCAATTATGCATAATTTCAGCTTTGAGCCATATACTGATTAAGCTGCTTTAAACATATACCCACACACTGGAAGCTAAAGTAAGGTTTATACTAATATTTATTTGAGATCAACATTGTTAGGGTTGTGTGTGGGGTCATACAGACAGATGGAGAGATGACAGGGATGTTTTAGCAAGAAGCTGCTGTTTTCTCACGAAGGCACGTGAAATCTTTGACTACACTTTGACTTGGCTGTTTTCCACTTGGCTGAAACTCTGAAGGCAGTTTTTGCTGTTTCACTCTTGGCATTGTAACATTTAATTTAAGATATTGCTCAAACCATAAACTGTGGATATAGAAGACTTTCTCTTCTTTTATACTGTGTGGAGTATCATTAACACTTGTGCCAGTTCCCAAAGCAAAAGACAAAAGGCTTGTGAAACGTGTACACACAAATGCAGCTATTGTTGTTCAAGTCACAGTATCATGTTGTCATTTGCTTGAACTCACTGCAGTACCTGCCTTCCTTAAATCCAATTTTCCGTATGTGTTTTTAGTGAATGTGCAATACTGATATATGTATTTTCATTTTCAGGGTGGCCACTGATCATAATGAAGACAACACTACAGATATTCTACGTGAATGGCTCACCAAAGTCCAAAACTTGTACCATTATGTGGAGTGGAGACCCAAAGAAGAGCCACAGTCAGTCCTTTTGATTTATACTGTTAGTAATACAACATTATACACTTAAATTTACAAACAAATGTTGGTTTTGTAGATTTTATGATGATGAAGAGGATGGGCCAAAGCAGTGGACAAACCAGCGTTATGAACATGTTATGAAGCTGCGTCAGGTCGCACTGGAGTCCGCTCGAGAGATGTGGGCAGACTATTTCTTGGTACGTATGAAATTATTAAGTAACGAAAATAATTATTTATTTCTTATGTAAATTACACAATAAGACAATTAGATCAACATTCTTATTATCATTATTGTCAGGAATGCTGTTTTAAACCAATACATGAGAAAAATGTCCTGTGTGGCAGTCCATCATGAGTATGCCAATTGCGAAAATACTGCTGATGTCAGCAGCATTCCCTCATGATTTGGTGCCAACTGTAGGCTCTGCTCAGTCCGAGGCTTTGTTTGACTTAATTCTGAGCTTTATTTTAGCAACTCTCGTCTTTTTTAATCAAACACCTAAACAGGAATGTGAATGCTCATATTCATCAAAGGCTAAAATACACTGTTTGACAGTGTCTGCTAATGTGTGCATTGTGCCTGTGGTAACTGCTGAACATTCTAACATAGTATGACATGTACATGTAGAACTCCCCCAGCATGATGTCACTGCTAAGTACTTCCAAATAGTTTGGAAATCAATGTTAATTTAGTACTTTTTGGGCCTTAGAAATAATTATATCTAGTAATGTTTTATTGTATGTTTTTCAGTTGGTGGACTGTGATAACCTCATCACTAATCCTGATGTATTGTGGAAACTCATGAAAGAGAATAAAACCATAGTTGCTCCGATGCTCGAGTCTCGTGCTGCTTATTCAAACTTCTGGTGTGGCATGACCTCACAGGTAATCACAGCATTCACTTAGCTTTACCTTTCAGTTTGTTTCTTCATATTGTGACCCTATCGTGACCTATATTTTCAGGGTTATTATAAGCGTACGCCGGCCTACCTGCCAATGAGGAAGCAGATACGAAAGGGTTGTTTTGCTGTGCCAATGGTTCACTCCACGTTTCTAATAGACTTGAGGAAAGAAGCATCCAGACAGCTGGCTTTTCATCCACCACACCCAGAATACAGCTGGGCTTTTGATGACATAATTGTGTTTGCCTATTCAGCTCGGATGGCAGGTGCATTCACATGACAAAACACAACATTTTGTAATTGTTTTATTGTGAAATCTAACTAACAGTTTTGTTCTTTTTCCTCAGATGTTCAAATGTTTGTATGTAACAAAGAAACATATGGTTACTTCCCTGTGCCTTTGCGATCCCATAATACTCTGCTAGATGAGGCTGACAGTTTCTTGCATACCCTTCTTGAAGTTAATGGTAAGGATGAAACATTTTATTTTAACTTTTTCTAGCTTTTCTACAACAATCTGGCATAACGTTCTGACCATTTAGATAACATTAGTTGTAATGTTGTATTAGCATTAGCATAGCAATTAACATTCAGTTCGATTTTGCATTGCCTGCCACTTGTTAGAGGTGTACTGTGTAACATTTCTAGTGAAGGGTCTGCCATCTGCTTGTCTTCATGGTGATGTTATAGCTTTGCCTGGGGTGTTCCACAGCATGGAGTGAAACAAATATATCTTGTATTTTTTCAATTATTTCTTTGTTAGTTTTTATTTCTCAAAACTACCACAAAACATTATTACTGTGAGTGGGCCCACTTCTTCACAGATCTGACCTGTAACTTGGCCTTAGTGATGTGGCTACTTATCGCTATGGAGCTAGTTAAATTAAATGCCATACTGTAGACAATTTCAGGGAAAAAAACAATAACATTTACATGAAGTCAAGCAGGTGGAGGAACCTCTACCAGAAAAGTTACATAATTCACCTTTTCTTTGAGCGGTTTTGACATCTGCAGACCTTTAGCACCATAGCTACACTTAGCAATTATTTGCATAACTGTACTATACATGAAATGTCATGCAGGATTCTTATCTTAGACTTTTATTGATCCCCAATGGAAATTATTTGGACACAGTAGGTCACACATCACAATATATTATAATAACAAAAAACAACAATATTAATGGTAATAATAAAATCTAAAGTGGCAAACATTAGCAAAAAAGTATTATTATTTACCATATTATTTCTACTTTCATTTGCTTTGTCCTGTGAGAATACTGTGCATGGTCACTCAGTGTATTTAGACCATTTCTGCATCCATCTTCCTTCTCATTGAACAGTGCGCCACCCTCCTGTGATGCGGACTAAGTACTTACCAGCTCCTGTTAAACGACCCGACAAAATGGGTTTTGATGAGGTGAGTATAAAGAAGAGATGTGAAGATGGACTCTGCAAAAATTGCTTTTTTCTAAATCTATGCCTCCACTTGCTTTGAGGAGTATATCATGATGTTGTTTTTTTACTTTTGTCCAGGTTTTTATGATAAATTTAAAGAGACGTACAGATCGCAGAGATCGCATGTTAAGGACATTGCACCAACAAGAGATCGACTGTAAAATCATTGCAGCTGTTGATGGAAAGTAAGTAAAATCTTAAAGGTTCATTGTGTAACATTTCTGGTGGAGGGTCCATCAAATGCTTGTTTCCACTGAGATGTTATTTCTTTATCTGGAATGTTTCACAGTATGGTATTAAACCTTTCTATCTTCGTGGAGACTTGAACCAGATCAAGTTACAGGTCAGATCTGTGGAGAGGCAACTTCGCTCTCAGTCAGAGTGTTTTTCTAGGTTTTTTTGAGCTATAAAACCACCTGTAGTTGGAAAAATGTAAGATAAAGCTGTAGAGTCATACTGTGGAACATTCCTGGCAGAGCAATGACATATCCTTAAAAATGAGCAGGTGATGGATTCTAGACCAAAAGTTACATAGTGCACCTTTAGGCCAAAGTCAAATTTTAAAAAATGGATTTGGTGCTGGTCACAAGCCCAAATATACAAAGCAGTGCCTTTCAGAAGAACCATTACCATAATCCCATTTAAAACAATTTGTAAATCCTGGACTAGAAGATGTAGAAAGTTGGAGTGGGAAAACACCTCATTTGTTCATCAAAATTAAAAGCTGTTTTGTCACATTGTGGCTGTAATTTTCAGAGCAATGAATACAAGTGAAGTCCATGCTCTGGGGATCCATATGCTGCCTGGATACAGTGACCCCTATCATGGCCGCCCCCTGACCAAGGGGGAGCTTGGATGCTTCCTCTCTCACTACAACATCTGGAAGGAGGTTTGTAAGCATTATGTATTTGCCAGGTATAGTTTAAAATAATGATTAGTAAAACAGATGTGGATGATTTTTTTAGATTGTGGAACGGGGTCTTCAGACTTCTCTGGTGATAGAGGATGACCTGCGTTTTGAGGTGTTTTTTAAAAGACGCCTTATGAACCTAATGAGTGAAGTGGAGAAGGAAGGCTTGGACTGGGACCTCATGTAAGATTGGACACAAACTTACTATATACACACTCTTTCTAAATTGTCTTACTTGTAATTATGTTACTATAATATGCATCTTTGTATTTTTGTCTAGACTTAAAAGAAACATACCTGATTTCAAACCATAAATCAGAAACTTTTTTTTACTTTGGACCGTTAACCCCAATCACATAGTTCTTTCTGCCAGTCATGATACAGAAACAACATATTCTAATGCAGTTGTTTCCTCATAGTTGTCATTCGTCTTTGCCAACTTATTTTTTCTCTCTCTTTATGATGCACCATGACAGGGAAACAGCTGTCTGGGATAGTGTCAGGCAGTTGTTTTCACATAATTCTTAGTGAAAAATGTGTCTGATTGTACAAATCTGGTGCTCCTGCTAGTAGCTCCTCTATTAGTTATTACCCAAAATGCTTTGCAATATGTACCATTAATGTCTTTCAGTCTCATTTATCTGCATTAACATCTGCATAATGTAAAGAGCATTTATCTTGACTAGAAGACATTTAAGTACAGACTGTTTTAATATATTTGATGTGCTTGTGTCTTCTAGTTACATTGGCAGGAAGAGGATGCAAATTGATCACAGAGAGAAAGCAGTGCCTAATATACACAACTTGGTGGAGGCGGACTACTCTTATTGGACGCTGGGTTATATGATGTCCTTACAAGGAGCTCAGAAGCTTTTAAGAGCTGAACCACTATCAAAGGTTTTACCAGTTGACGAGTTTCTACCAATCATGTATAACAAACATCCTGTGTAAGTGCAACTAATTCATTTTTATGTCAGCATTACCAAAGCATTCAGAATTTAATTAAAATTTTGTCTCAGGTCTGACTACATGGAGCAGTTTGAGAACAGAGACCTGAAGGCGTTTTCCGCAGAGCCTCTTCTAGTGTATCCAACGCACTATACTGGTGAGGATGGCTATGTTAGTGACACAGAGACCTCCACTGTTTGGGACAATGACAAAGTGCCAACAGACTGGGACAGGGCTCGTGCAGGAAAGACTGGGGAGCAGCAGGAAATCAGCACAGAAGCCCAAAACTCAGATGTGCTCCAGTCTTCTCTCGACAGCACAGCCCGGGATGAACTATGAAAGCATGTGAAATGTATAAATATGCAGAAGCAAGGCACATTTAGTTTGTGTACCTTTTTCATGTGAGGTCTGAGGTTTTTAAAAATGTGACTTTTTCCATGTTTATTTCATTTTGTAAACAAAAGAGAAGGTACTAGACTTGTCATTTGAAATGGCATTTGCAGTGCCCACCTATATCTGTCATACAGAAGTAGTCTTTTTTTATTATCATGATTGCTTTGCATTTCAGTTTATATGATTAACACTCCACTGGAATGCTATTTATTTGGTTTACAACTGACTTTATGTAGGCATGTCTGTCTTGAATAAATCCATAACAAATTTATTGATCATTGTTTCTCTTCTCTACAAAATATTTACATATTTTTCTATCATACCTTTTGAGAACTAGTGCACATTGCCTAGTCATCTGGTGTCATTTAGCTGTCGACATGTGTGAAAAACCACAGCGCACTAAACTGGATGCGAGGGAGTGTGCTTTCAGCAGTCTTTTCAGCATAGTGTATACTCTCCAGACTCTCTACATCTTGATTAGTGTGAACAGTTATAAAAAAAAAACGCTGGAGGTTTGGCTTTAAAGCCCCGATTCTCCTCTGATGTGGCTAGATCTCCCAAAGTGGGTGTAATTGTATCCACCCAGCTGTTAATTTAAGTTACCAACATGATCCACAGTAGAGCTGAACTGAGTAAAGTGTTATAAAATGAAATTATACCTCAAGATTGACAAAGGTACAAAAGATTGATGCAGGGAATTTTCAAAGAAGGCATTCCCAGTACAGTCATGCTTATTTTATTTATATCTTGCAAGTAATTTCATCTTTTCAAGTGATGGTACAACAGGGGGCGCATTTCTCATATCTACCAGGTACACACTAAACGTGGATCCATATTTGCCCAAACAAACTCCGAGGTAACAGAGGCTCAATGAATGTTGAGGTAAGATGACAGAGGTGAGATACTCTTTAATAATGTGATGTGACTACTACAGTTACGATTTATTTTTACGCACACATCTGATCAGAATTTGCTGCACAAATAAAGACTAAAAATGAAGAAAAACTGACCCAAAGATGCGATGTTGTATTGTTGCTATATTTTTTTTGCATCATACACAGATCACTCTCATCTTTCATGTCAATAATATACTGCTGTAGAGTTCTTCTAATAGGCTGATGTAGTTCGTTTTTTTTTCCACTCTTTCAATAAAGAGCGATGATAACTTCACAACACAAGATGTCGCTGTAGAACTTATTTTAGACATTACAAATTGTATGTACACGTAATTCGTCAAGTTCAAGGCACAATTCCCCACCCCTCTATTAGTAGGCTTCTTTTCACATTACTCTTGTTATTTATCATAATCAGAAAGTCTGCCTAAATATTTAAATTTTACTAAGAAAATGACTTCAAAATGCCATGGCACCTTGTCTGTGTAATAGGTGGGGCCACCACAGTTGCCTTGAAGATGCACTTCCTCTTCTCTGACTGTTGCAGATGTAGAAGCATTGGCCAACCACTAAAGCTCATGTAGGCCACAGGGCAAAGACAGCAGCCACCTCACATCTGTAATTTAGAAATGTACAATGCAGATAGCTGAAGGCACCTTATCTGATAGTTTAAAAGGCAAAATCTAAATGAAGATGAGGTGTGACTAGAGCGGCTTGGGTCTCTGTTCTAGTGGCTGTAGGAATGGAAGAGGACCAAGGGCCAAGCAGTGATGTCTCCCAAACAACAGGTAGGCTTGTGTATTTTTATGACAGTAGGCCTAGTTTAATGATTTATGTCTGATTTACATTTGAGTATATTTTAATAAAACAATTCTGTAGTTATGTTTTACGTTTCCTCACATCCTCTTGTTTATTGCCCTGTATATCCAAAATATTATCAAGAGCATAACTTAGAAAACCTGTGTAAAAAGTAAAAACATGTTAACTGTAAGTGCTATTCTGGTATAATTCAATGAAACTCTGACAAAACAAGTGCTTTTGTGCTCTTTATGGGATGTGACACAAACTGTGAACAGGATGTGGTTTACCGAAGAGAGAGAAGCAGAAAGAGTAGTGAGATTGCTTTTTGCCTTTTATTTGTAGCTTGTATTTCAAGCAGAAGTAACAGGATCAACTGAAGTGCATCGCAGTTCATTGGTTTATTATTGTATCATTTATTTATTCGTATGATTGACATCTTTGACATATTATTCAACATATGGCTTTTTATATTATAAGATCTGTTTGCACATCGTCTAACTATCTGCAGTTTATTGAGCGCTGCAGTCAGAAGTTTCTTCACTGAGAGTTTAATTAAAGGTCCTATATTACGCAAAATGGTCTTGTGAGCTTTAAGCTATGTTACTTCCTCAGAAACATACCTGCAGTTGTGTCATTTACACATGTTTGAGTAATCCTTTATTTTTGGTCTCACTACATCTCCAAAGCTCAAAATGCTTGTGATGTTGTGTAGTGGTAGTTTTCAAGTTAACAGCTATCTCATACCTTTAGTTCAGTAGAGATGGGCAACTCCAGGGCTGAAATCATCCAAATGATTGTAGTGAAGGTGGAGATTGAGTTTAAAAACACAGTGGAGCACTTCCTGTATTACTGAATGTTTTCTGTGTGAGAGAAGAACTCAGCCAAAATATGCAGGGTTTGCGTGTTAAATATGCGTGCGTGAAACAAAACACAACTCCACGTATGTTTTTGATGAGGAAATAACATTATAAAATAGATCTGAATAATATTGGCCCTTCCCACACAGCATTAATATAGGCAGTGAGCATATGGGTTCACATTTGTTAATGATAATAATAAGGTATTCAAATATGTAGCCATCAAAGTAAAATATTTTTATTTTTTATTTTTCATGGCATCCTGAACTGCTGCCCATACAGTGTCAGCCTTGTTACTAACCAATCACTGTCCAGCATACAGGGCCTTTCCCACCTCCGGCCCGTAGTTGAAGGGACTGTCATAGCCGCCCACAACCCCCAAAATACTGTGTGATTCTTTTGTGTGTATGTATATATATATATATATATATATATATATATATATATATATTATATATATATTTATTTTTTTTTTTTTTTTTTTTTTTTTTTTTTTTTTTCAGAGGTGAAGAAAGCATCTCGTAAATCTGACACCAAGAGGTACAGTGAGATCCTCAGGGACTTTGATAAGTTTGAACTGTCTTTGCTCTGCAAGTAAGTAATTTTCTGCTGTAGTAAAACTGTAATATGTATGCTTGCTTGGTAGCACTGGTGTACCTACATTCCAAATGATAAGGTGAAAAGAAAGTTTTACATTTTTAAAACAGAAATGCATTAACTTCGGCTGAACTATTGTTCGATGTAATAGTAGTTTACATCGTACAGTAGTGTTTCATATACGTCTGTTCACTGGGACAGGAATAGGTCTAAATATGTGTAACCTGCTTTAGAAGTATTAGAAATCATTTTAGCTGTAGCATAGAAAATTACAACATGACATGAGGTAACTTAACACCAAACAGGTTTAAATACATTTACTTAATAATGTGCGATATGTTTGTCTCCAAGTGTGCTTTGCCTGGAATGTTCCACAGTATGGCATATAAATTCCACCTATTTCCATGGGAACAAGCAGGTAACACGACCATGCCAAGTTACAAGTCAGATATACGGAGAGGATTATTTTTGCCAAATACCTGTAGTTGAATATATGCAGATAAGTTTAAAGCCATACTGTGGAACACTGTATACAGAGCAGTTACAACTTCATGAAGACAGACAGTGGTGGATCATCAACCTAAAGTTACATATTTAAGTACCATTAAGTAAAACATTGGTAGCTCATTTCTCTATTGTGTCTTTATTTAACCTTACAAGTATCTGTTTGTATTCAGTGCAGGGGAGGATCTTCTGGCTGATATTGATTCACCAAATGTTGAAAATACTGAGTCCGAAGAGCCAAATGCAGAGCCAAATGAGGAGCCTGTAAGAAATCACTACTTACTTCTTGATAATAAAAATGATAAGATGTTATGTACTGTTTAAATATGATTTAGAAAATGAGTTCTGCTTCCTTCCAGCCAAATGAAGATCCATCAAATGACGATGAACCTGAAGTAGATCAGAACAACCCAGGTAAGTTTTAACATTATTGTAAATATTCTTAAGTACTTTTTATAGCACATGTTACTAAAATCATGGCATCTTGAGATGACTTGCAAGTCACTATTTTAGTTTTAAGGTGTTTCAGCATAATTAGTTGGCATTTGTAACTGCCCTGTAGTAACCAGATTAGTTTAAACCTGAGGATTTAAAGTGAGGACAGCTGCTCTTCGTTTTTACCTAAGCATAAGAACAACAACAAACACATTAGAAAATCAAAACAATGTTTGTGAAAAGTGATAATGGGCGTGTTAGTGTGCCATTATATTATGTAGGTCAAACAATGCATTGATTAAAAACTGATGACAGGTCAGTGGAAAATGCTAAATTAACAACAAATATACTCAAACTGACATGGCATAAATTAAAGGTGTACTATGTAACGTTTCTGGTGGAGGGTCTGCCAATTGCTTGTCTCTATAAGGTACTGCTTTGATTGGAATGTTCCACAGTATGGCAATAAACTTATCTTCAGCTACAGGTGGGTGTTTTATTGCAAAGAAAATACAGTGAAAAATATGCGTTCTTACTGTGAGTGGGATTACCTCTCCACAGGTCTGTAATTTAGCCTTGTGGTGTCTTCTTTTTAATGCCGTACTTTGGAACATTCAAGATGAAATTAAAAGAAAAAACACAGAGAGACAAGCACTTGGTAAATCCTCCTGCAGTAAAGTTACAAAGTGCACCATTAAAATACTTTGTTTTTTTATACTGCATAGACAGTAGAGCCGTGCTTTCCAATTTAAGCTTGATCCTGTGTCTTGTGCGAGCTTGGGAATATCTTAAAGCCAGCTCACCTCACGCAGTCACACTCCAGGAGGTAAACCTTTACTCACAGCTAAAGCCTGCCTGCCACAATCTGGAACAGTGTAATCCCTGAACAGAGTGCATGAAGCTATGGCTCTGAAGACACATAACCCTACTGGGATTTCTGAAACTTGAGACATTTCACCAGCTATAGGAAGTCAACCTGGGGCTCAACGTACACGTGGATTTATGAGGAATATAGTACCTTCTTTCAACTTTTCCTTTTGGTGTGGATAGACATGCAAATTTTTGGACAGTTTTGGTAAAGGTGAATCATGCTTGTATGCCTGGATGATTTCAAAGGGAAGTTGTTTTGTCACATCCTCTTTTGCTGCTTGCTTTATCAGCTAAACCGTACTTGGAAGTAGACAACCGGCTGTTAGCAGAAGTTGAAATGCTAGTCATATATATATATATAACAAGTGAACAAATGTGCTAAAATGACCTACTGCAGAAAGTGGTAGGAGTTCTTTCTATGTATATCAAGACCACAGGCTACCTCCCACATAAAGGAAAATCCCCAGTGATGATCATATCAACTGGCCGTGTATGTATGACTCTTTGTGACTGAAAACAAGTGAACAGGTGAAAGAGGGAGGGGCTCAGAGAGGAAGAGGGACACGGGAAGTCAACAAGAGTTTTGCCTTTAACACAAATCAACTATCAACACGCTTTTGACAACTATAACAAGTATTGAATTTCTGTTTGCAAGAAGATACGCTACTGACACTTTGTGGATTCTACTGATTTTGATTTGAAGACTATGACTTGCAATTTGGAGAGTTTATTTCCTGTTCTGGGTTTGTGCATGTTTTCCATTTTCCATTTTGGCTTGTTGTTGTCTAAAATCAAACTGGTTGGCACTGGTAGACATCAGTACCAACATCCCTGGGTTTAAAGCTCAGAGACGTCACAGTGATGTTGATGTACTCCCTCTCAGCCCAGGAGGCAGACCTGGCCCTGTGCCGCTGTGAGGATGGAGTGGAGACCGCCCTGCAGTACGCCAAAGTGTGGTGCCGTTACGCCAAGGACCTCCTCAACTGGATGGAGAAGCGGCTCAGTCTGGGTAAGTGCAGACAAAAAATATACATTAAAAAAAGTTTACTTTTTTGACCTTAGAAATTGAAATGCTTTATTTTTTGCTTCAAAATTTGTCACATTTATTAATTTTATTAATCTATCTTATGGATAGATTTTAACTTGAAATATTTATATAGTCGATATAATTATCAATTAACCTTATCATTTTGACATTCCTAAAGGAGCTGTTTTTTGTAAAATAAATTGTAAGGAGAGTTGTAATTTAAGCCAGTTACAGCAAGTGACAAATTAGCCAATCAAAGAAACATTACCATTTCACTAAATATTGTGGTTGCAGAGGTTGTCTAATATATCTTAGATTTGCCCAGTGCTCCACTGCCACAGTTTGGTTATATGTTATGTGGGCAGCATCACATTAAAAATACTACACTGGCAAATAGGGATTTTCACTGTGTTTAAACATTTGCATTTTGTTTAGAAAGTTACAGTGACATAACCTGTTGAGATTACTTTGCATAACTGTACAAAAAAGGCAAGTGGGTTGACTTTTGGAGACTACTATCACAAAGGAGGTTGTCCCAAAAAGCTCTTCATGCCACATACAAACTTCTGGTTAAAATGTAATTTCTATTTTGTCCTTTACAACTTAATGGCAATTGAATTAATCTATTTATGTTTTTTACAGAGCAAGAATTTGCAAAGAATGTTATAAAGGCAGCTGAAGGAGCCAAAACCACAGTAGCACAACAGGTATTAAATACATGTTTTTCAATAATATCTCCATTGGGACAAACAGGTGGTGTACCCTTCACCAGAAAAGTCACATAGTGCCTTTTTTCCAAAAAAATAATAAATAAATAAATTTGAATGTTTTTAGACATAAACATTAATTAACATATGATTTCTTATTTAAAGGAAATGATGCCCCTGCAGTATATTTTCACAATGGCTTTTGAGCAAGACATCAAAAATAGTCTCACAGCAAGAAAAATGTCCGACTTGATACAACACCGCTGTTACCAGGTAGACTTTGCGTCACACTACAAGCCAAATAATGACAAAATATTGCATGTCTCTTCTGATTGATGGTCCTCATTTCTCTTCACTGTCCCACAGGCCTTGTCGGCAAAGAGAAATGAGATTGACAAGTGGCGCCGGGAGTTCAAAGAGCAGTGGGCACGAGAACAGCGCAAAATGGTAAATGTTCAATTAGGCCCATTGTATCTGAAAATGAAACCAGATTCTAGCCTTATACAGCTGTACAGACCTGTTTTAGTCCTAGTCTGATCCCAGTTTAGTGATGATGTAGTCTTGGTTCTTGTCCAGGTTTAGATCAGCATTTAGGGTGCTCTCACACTTGTCCCTATTGGGCTCTGGTTTGAGCCCAGTTTAGTCCTGATAACAGACCTGGTTTGTTTCTGCTCTAGTTCAGGATTAAACATTTGAATTTTTTTCAGATTTAGTCCAAATTTTTATGTGGTGTATATACAAGTGTGAATGCACCCTAATTTACTCCTTAACTAGATGTAAATCAGATGTTGGTCATAATGAGAAAACTACCTAATTCAAAACAACTTTAGATTTTTTAAATAAAATAAACTAGACCTGCATACAACAGTTTGAGATCCACTGGATTAGTATATTTATATTACTATACATTTCTGTCATTGTATTTGTCTGTCTGTTGACTTTGTTGTTATCAGAATGACACAGTGACGGCTCTCAGAAAAGCTCGGCATCAGTACTTCCAACGCTGTGAAGAACTGGAAAAGGCAAAAGCTATCAGCGCAAAAGCAACTGACGACGCCACTGGCACCAAGACTCTGGACAAGAGGCGGAAATCTAAGGATGAAGCACAAACTAAAGTAACCCATAGCATATACTTTAAAATCTTTATTATGTGGCTTTAATATTGTTTATGAAATGTATTTTTGTGAGTTAAAAATAGTTGTTTTTAATCAGGTCATGGAAGCAGAGCTCTTGTATCGTCAGTGTGTACATGATGCCGGGGTCCAACAGGGCGAGTTAGTGAAGGTCAAAGAGAGGATCATTTCACACATAAGAAAACTCATTTGTCAAGGAGATACTGTGCTTAAAGAGGTAACTAGATGCACATTACAGTGTTATTTATGACTTTTTTACACACAGATGTACTGGTGCAATATATATATATATATATATATATATATATATATATATATATAATTTTATTTTTTTACCAGGAACTCTTTTAATCAGTCTTTTTAATTATTCCTATTGTATGGAACTGATGTATTTTATTATTATTTATTATTTAACCTATGAGCTTTTTGCTATCCGTAGTTAATAAGGTGGTCAAAACAGATGAGTTACAAATCCATACTAAAATTTGAACTGAAACTAGATACTCATTTGTAATATGAATGCTGAACTTTCTGCTCTTTATAAGAACTAGTATATAGCTACTAGTAAAAGTATGTAGAAAGATTATATTCTATTGTAAAATTAGTTTTTTACTTGTGATTGTGGTATTGAAACCTGTATTATTGTTTCTTTCTCTTAGTAACCAAACTGAGTATTTTGTGCACTATCATGACAACAACACTAGAAGCATGACAGTGTCTATTGTCTGACACTTTGTTTCATATGATTTTATGTATAATACTCTGTTATTGAATTTCAAATTGATAAGTTAAAACTGTTGCTTCCTTTAGGCCACAGTAAACATGTTTTACTACCAGCGACAGCAGACTGAGCAGGTGCCTCTGGGCTATCACAACCTTGAGCTTACATCTCGGTCACTGGAGCCCGGAGAGCCATACCTCCTGTATATTCTCGGCAAACCACGCCAAGATCAACCCCCACAAGTCTTCACCTTCCAGGAATATTTCTCTCAAGGCAAAGGGTACGCAAATTACAGAATTACAGTAAACATTATAATACTAAATATTATGTTTCTACTCACCAAAAAAGTGAATGTGCTTTGTAATGTTTTGTTTTGTTTTTTTTTTTGGCAAAAGGAACAAACGGAAAACTAGCAATCCCCTCTCAACTGTGATGGACCCCTATCCTGTTGCAGATGAAGGAAGTAAGTATCAAATTAATTAACACATTCATCCACTTTTATGTACCTTCCTGTTGCCTTGCTTTAACTACAACAAAATCATTTAAATTTGATCTGGTAATTTATAATCTGTTGAAAAAGGAATTTGACAATTGCAAGCCATTACATTCTGTTTTTACATATTGTGTAATGATTTAGGTTTTTACAATAATCTTTTTCTTTTTCTGTGCTAGGGAGATCTGTGCACAGTGATTGTGACAGCTTTGGAGGAAGTCAGGAGTCCCTGTCCAGCCCTGGTAGACTTAACTTATTTACCCACTTGATATCATTAAAATAAAATGTAAACTCTAACCATTATTTACCTTTTCATTTAAGGTCACGTTAGCAGAAGATTACCCAAAACTGGATCCACTTTAACTGTTTCATCAGATGATGTGGATGAGCGAGACCTGGCATCTGAACCAGGTTTGAATTTCCAATCCTATAGTTTTCATTTAATATTGTTGAGAATGTAATTAAATGCAAACTATCATTAATGTTTTCTGCAGAGGGTCTCATTGATTCTCCATGCAAATCACGTCCTCTTTCTCGAGCTGCCTTGACCCACCGACTCAGAAAGATGAAGAGCAAAATGGTCAAATGTAAACAGTGTGATAACTACATTGTTGTGAATGGAGTTGAATGTGAAGAGGTACGTATAGTAATGTGCATATGATGGGCTTTTGTGTTTTTCTAAATAATTTCTTTATGGGATAGTACTTGTGGTAAATGATTATAGTTTAAAATTTTACGTCAGCAAGCAGTCAGTGAAGAAACGTTGGGGAAATAGTTGAGAAATACAGGAAGTAGCACTGCTTTGAAAAGGAAACCTATCATCAGTATTATTTGTTTAGAGTATGGTTGCTAAGAACATGGAATTACCTCAACTTATGTCACATCTGCTGTTCATATTCAACCACCTTCACAAACATGTCAAACTAGGAAAAATGCATCAGAATTTTACACGTGTGTGTGTGCATGTGCGTGTGCGTGTGTAGTTTTGATTTGAGTGTGGAGAGAGGGGTGAGGTGTGGGAGGGTTTTTTTTTTCTCAATTTTTTTTCTTTTTCTCTATTTTTGTTTTTTCAATCAAAAAAATATCTTTTGTTGTTTATATTTATTGGCACTTTTTTTTTTTTACTAATGCTAACCTTTTCCTGTTATATTTTATAGTGTAGTTTGGCCTTGCATAGAAAGTGTATGGAGATTTGCCAGCTGGAGTGTGAACATGCAAAGGGCACAGTTTTCGGAATAGACTTATCACTTTTGCCCCGGGACAAACCAGACGAGGTCCCCTTTGTGGTGCTGCGCTGCATCTCTGAGATTGAGAGTCGAGCTCTCTCTGTTCAGGTGAATAACTAATTTTAGACAACATTTAGTTTTGATGTGTGTGGCAGTGGCTATGTTTACATTTACACCAGAAATCTGATCATTATCTAATTTCTGAAATGCCTTGTAAAAATGTATGTGTTGATAAGAAAAAAAATGCAAAAAGGGCAAACTAATGAGGGAAAACCAATGAAAGAAAAAAACTGTTAAAGATTTATTATTATTTTAAAATGTTTTGTACAAATTCCACAGACAGACACCAGGTGTTTTAGTGGTCAGATTTCTCTAGTGCAAATAAACACATACACATCAGACCTAATTCTAGGGTTATCTGATTATTCTTATCTGTTTTTGTGCCCACTGTTTGTATGTGTGATTTAGGGGGTGTACCGCGTGAGTGGGTCCAAGCCTCGCATTCAAAAGCTGTGCCAGGCTTTTGAGGAGCAGAAGGAGCTGGTGGATCTCTCCGACCTGTCTCCACACGATATTACTTCAATTCTAAAACACTTTTTCAAAGAGGTACTTCTTTTTGTATATATTTGTGTATGTTTTGTTTTGTATGTAATGTATTTCTGTAGTATGTGTGGAAGTTTTTATTTCACGCTATCATGCTCAGCTGTGAACAAGAGCAGTTTATTGTATTAACCACATAATATTGTGAGAGAGCAAAAGAGGTACATAAAACGTTTTCTTATCATCTTATTGCAAGCATTATATTCTGTTTTGAGACATTATTTCTATCATCTGTAGGATCAGATCACATTGTCAATTGTACCACTTTTGTAAGACGTTTTAAGCTTGTCTTAGTATCTTGCACTTTCTAACTTTCTAAAATCTACCCTAGCAATACATTATAATCAACTTTTTATGGATATCACTATTACAGATAATTTGTATATTATTCAGTGGTGGAAAAGGAGGACTCAGATTTATTACTGATGTAAAAAAAAATTAAAAAAATAAAATACAGATAACAGGGCAAAAGGATAATCAAGGAAAAATATCACATGAAAAAAATATAAATAAATAAAGTATTAATGTACCTGTTTAAAAATGCCCTCAAAATAAAAAGTAAAAGTATTTTCATTTTTAAATATTTTTAGAAGACTTCACATGTAGTGATTTTAATAAAGATTTGAGCTGAACTTTGTTCAACAGAAACAATTATATTTTATCTGTTTTATTTATATATTTTGTGTTTTCTCATGATTTTTAGCAGGTCTCAGACAATCATAAAAATACTTTTACTTTTCAGTCCTGTTCAAAAATGTAATGGAGTAGAAACTACAGATATCTGCTCTCAAATGTAGTGAAGTAAAAGCAAAAAATATCCAAAATGTACTTAAGTAAAATACAGATATCTTAAGGGTGAATTGTGTAATTTTTGTAGTTGGGGATCCGTCTAAAGCTTTTCTCCTTGGACATGTTATTGCTTTGTCTAGAATGTTCCACAGTATGGTATTAAACCTTTCTATCTTCATGGAGACCAAACCAGATCAAGTTAGAGGTCAAATCTGTGGAGAGGCGACCCCTCCCAGTCAGAATGTCTGGTTTTCTGGGTATTTTTGAGCAATAAAACCACCAATAACTGAATAAATGTAAGGTAGAGCTGTTTAATGTCATACTGTGGAACATTCCATGAAGAAAAACAGGTGACAGACCCTCCACCAAAAAATTACATAGTGCATCTTAAATACAGTACTTTACTTCATTATGTTCCACCTCTGGTATTACTGACTGTTGTATGCAATCCCTATTTGTTACAGCTTCCTCGACCTTTACTCACTTTTGAGCTGTACAACGACTTCATTGACATGGGGAAGACAATTCAGCATCTGAGCGAAAGGCAGCAACCTCCAGACACTAATGAGATCATGGATGTCATCACCAGCCTACAGAGTATTTTAAACAAACTCCCAGCATACTGTTACAACACTCTGCAGCATTTGGTGTTTCACCTGCAAAAGTAAGAATCTACCTCTGCATTTTCACTGAATATATGTACATATGGAAAGCTGGGGATATTAATTAATGGTAGTTTTGTATTGCTCATTTCAGTTTGAGCATGTTAAGCCTTGATTCTGGTTTGCTTCTGTTATTGTCCTGGGTCAAGTCCTGGTTTAGTTCTGGTTTAGTTTTGGTTCATACCTAGTTTAGTCCTGGGTTTTCCCTGGAGTTTAGTTTTGGTTCTGTCCTGGTTTGGTCCTGGTTTAGTTCTAGTTTTGTCCTGGTTTACTCCTAGTTTAACCCAATCCTAACCCTGGGTTAATCCTGGTTAAGTCTGGGTTTAGTCCTGTTTTATTCCTGGTTTATCTTAGTGTTCTTTAGTCTTGTTGTACTCCTAGATTATAACCTGGAATAATTTTGTTCTCACTGATTCTTTGAAAATTCTGATTATGCATTAGTTTAGTAATAGTACCCCTTCATTACACATCCACAAAAATAACTTAAAATCTTACATGACTTCTCCACTTTCCCCACAGAGTTTCAGAGAACACAGAAAATAAAATGTGTGCCAGTAATTTGGGTATCGTATTTGGACCTACACTACTGCGCCCTACAGAGGCCTCAGACACCATGCTTGCACTGCAGGAGACCAGCTACCAAGCTCTTCTCATCGAATTTCTTATCACACATCACAATAAAGTTTTTGGGGTTCAAGATCGCTCCTGTACACCTCTTCCTCCAGTACCAAATGCTCCGCTTCCACAAACTCCGCCCAGAGCTTCTTGCCCTTTAGAACAAGAGGAATTTACCCGCCCACACTCTTTAGAGGTAAAAAATTATAAGCTTTATCTTCTTTCTATGTAAATAACTGTACAGCTGCTGCTTTCTGCCACTAACTTCTTCTGCCTCTATTCTCCCTTTATTTTAGTTATAATATTTTCAAAAATGCCTGGCAACCCATACAAGTTGGATCAGGTTGAATTATCTCCTACTTAAGACAATAACAATATAAACCAATGTCATTTCAACAGACTCGTAAATTCAAGAGAGATTCAAGCGAGGGTTATATATCTGACAAATCTTCCTCCAATGAGGCAATGGACCAGCTCAGCCCTGAAGTCAATAACAGCGCAGGTAGGCGGGGCTTAGTACAATAGCCAGTAGTCTTAGAGTGGTCTTTTAGTCTGCATTTGTTTGGTTTACAACACAAGGTAAAACTAGGCCACTTCTCTTGCTGCACCAGATATTTTCAGATCAGGATAGAGTTTCAGGCACTTGTCTTTTTTCTTACACTCTAAATGTTATACTTGCAACTTTAGACTACTTCTTTGTTCTTTATTTTTTTCTTGCTTGTAAACTTATTTTGTTGCATTTCTTGCTTTGGCATTTTAGGCCTAACCTGCTGTGAGTCTTTAATCAAGAATAATGTGGGAGATTCTTTACATTACCAAACAAATAACCAACATAAGATATAGGTTTAAGAAGTTATGAGAGCTGATTTATCGTTTATAATTTGAAAAAACAAAACGCTCACACACATGCACTCACATTTTGCTGGGACAAAACAATAAAATAGTTATTACTTACAACAGCATATTGGACCAAAAAGCATTAGAGTTGTACTCTGTAACTTTTCTAGTCCCACAATTCTTGCCTGAAATGTTCTATACTATGGTATTAAACATATCTATCTCAATGGAGACAATGGGTATTTTTCATAAATAAAAAAACCTGGAAGGCAACATAAAGACTTTAATGCCATACTGTGGAACATTTCAAGCAAAGCAAAAAAAATGAATGAAAGAAAAGTTACAGTGCACCCCTAAAGACTTTCTAATGTTTTGTTTTGCCTGTTCTTTTTAAGTCCTGGCTTTGAAGGAGACAACAAATGAAACCAAGGATGATCCTGTACACACAGTATTTTCAAGCCAACCACACTATCGCTTTACCAGACAACCTGTGAAGTACCATCGTCATCATGGTAACCACAGCAACACTGGGCCCAGACACTCAAACCCCATCCCAAAACAGGAATCTGCCCCCTCCAGGAGCTGTCCAGGCAGCGCAGACAGCAGTCGCAGCTCATCTCCAGATCCATGGACACAAAGACCTCCAAAATCTGCCAACTCAAGGCTTTCACAACAGGGTGTTTTGGGAGCAGAGGGTAAACCAGATGCCCCGGTAAACCCTCGAGAAGTAGTGGAGTATATGCTAGGGCTGGACTCGAGAGTTTCAGTAAAAGTGGAGGCGCTGGGGCCTAAACATGATCTTAACAGGAATCAGAGACTGCCTGTTGATAAAGGACATGGTTTCGGTCACTTACCAAAACCTCCTCTTTTGATGGAACACATTGTGACCTCACCTGCCCAAAAAATCCTCTCCGGACTCAAGCTAAGGCGAAGCCACTCAGGCAAAGATGAACAACTCTTTGTATAAAAACATGCTTACAACATAGTGGTCCTGCCCTAATTGGAAACCTTATGTATTCATATGGCAATTTGTTTCTTTATCTTCAATGAAACCCAGTTGAAAAGTTTAAGTTGAGTGGTTTGAGCCTTTTCTACAATTCAAACAAATTATAGATTGTAATTCTCTCTGTGAGTTAAATGATCTTAATCCAACTGTATCGTAGCCAATGCGGTCTACAGTAGTACCTTCACTTTGCATGTGTCTTGAAGTAATGAAGGAGAGCTAAGAGTAGGCAGGTTGTTTTTACAGATTTCACTGTCAAACTGTCATGTGTTAGAAACTATTGCTGCATTGTGTAAATAAACATTGCTATAATAATGTTTTTGTAGAGCGTGTCTGCAACAGGACGTTTTCCTTGTGATGTTACAAGTATTTATTCAAGTATACATTTTATATTGTAATATTTAGCTGTAGTATTATGGCCATGCCACAAGAGGGAGGTCTTCCCCCAATATGTTAAATTGTAAGTGAGGAATTATTAAGCATTTATCGCATATTTAACTCTATGCAGTGTAAAATTGGTCTTTGGTCTCATTCACTCTCTTCTTTTTAATAATTCTGTCAGTTTTTAATTTTGAATAATCAAACGCTATGATAATGTTCATTTGATGTTTTGGTCTTTAAAAAGCCTAATGAGGCTCTTATCAGCTTATTCTTTGTTCAATTTAATATCATAGAAAATAGAACATGTCTTGCAACTTTATAGAGAACAAAATTGTAAAATGCCGTTTTGACTGTCCGCGACCGGGGTTGATTCCTTCAGTCTTGGTCAAGTCCTGTCGCCCTTTGAAGTCAATGGTCTAACCTTGCGCAAACAAAACACTCAAAACCATCCATGTGTGCGTTATCAATGCGCTTCATCCTTGCTCATCTTCCTCTATCATCTTCCACACCTCCTCTTCTTCCTCTCTCTTTCTCTCTCTCTCTTTCTCTCTCTCTCCTTCATGTCCATCCGTCTCCTGCTCCCTCCCTCTGTGCCCCTCTTTACGCACAAAACAAGTGAGAGCGCGCACCAGGCTACAGCGAAAGAAAACCAGAGGAGACAATAGACTGACAATATTTTGGGTCATCATGCCGTTTGGACTTTTGCGCATATGAATTATGCACTGTGGGTTGTGAGGCATAGGCTACACAATAATAAGAGTCTTTTCCTGGATCAAAGTTTCCTCCAGTTTTTCATGCTGCCCACGGAAATCTCTGGAGGAGTGTGTTTCACATCAAGGTAAGATTTGAAGGGTTTTGAAAAAAGTGGATAAATTCTGTACTTATTTGTAACAATATGCTTACCCCAATTGTCTGTATGCGAGGTAGAAGTGTTTTTATTACAAAAAGTAGACGTTTAAGAATTAATTTGGTCAGAAGTTTTTTATGCCTGCCAATTTTGTTTTACACGAAATCTGTCTATTTATAACAGTCAGCTGTTGTGCACAAAAAGAACACGTGGCCAGGGTGATCAGTGACATTGAAACTGAACGACTGCCTTCAAAAATGTGTTATCAAACGTAATGCATTTTTTGCAGAATTTGTGCTTTAACACTATGCAAAATTCAAATGATTTGTTACATTTTATAATAAATGTAGGACTATCTTTTATATGCAGTTTTAATAAGCAATTTAATTTAGCGCAATAATAATAATAATATAGACAGTAGTCACATTTAGCGCAGTGTCAGGCTTCAGTCTCCATAATTATCGATCAATTACACGACAATTGGCAGTAATGTATTCAGGCATCAATTAGGGAAAACGCCAAATCAGATTAAAACACATTTACATATTTCATTACTTTTCAATGATTAATTTATTTCTTCAGATATGTATTTTCTATTATCAACATGAGCGTTATCATTTTAAATCAGCATACAACCTCCAAATCCATCTGTCCAACTATTTTGACAAAATTTTACATTTTATCCATTGCATTTTTGTTGCTGATCCGTATCAGATAGGCCTACTCTTCACTTCTATCATGCCAAGTTTGGTGTTTGACATTTTTTGTATTTAAATAATCGGTTATACAGGATATTTAAATACGACAGGCCTGGGCTTTAGCTTATGATTCGAAAAATCAATTTAAACGGAATTGATTTTAAAATTCTCTCAATATTGTTAGCAATTAACAATATTATTTCCTTGACCCTTTCAAGCTGTAAGTTATCGCCTGTGTTATTGTCCCCTGATATTGGAAAATATAGTTAATAACCAAAAGGCACCAGCGCAACATTGGGGCCTTAAATTGGCATTTGATTGATTCAAATTTTAAGAAGGCCTAACTAAGCGCCTTAGTTCATTTATTTATTTGCACTTTTTAAGCTATTCATTTTCAGGTGCGTGGTATAGGCTATTCTTTTTCATAACCACAATGCCAGTTTACAATTTATGTCTTGCGTGCACGTTTCTCTGTGGATGCGATTTGTCTTTTTCTTTTAAACATTTAGACATTTTTTTTAGAAGACTTTTTTATTTTTATCATTTTTTTTTAATAAATACTGTAATGCTGTTGTAGCGATCACACTGAAGGTCGCAGAGAAGGGATGAAAACAGAGGAAAGCCAACAGTCCTGTCTTCAGCAGCCTCCGTCCTCCACGCCTTTTGGTGAGTTTACGCGCGGCGCGAGGCCGCACGCTGCATCCTTCTGCCATGTTTTTACACATAACAGAACACATAACATGCGTTTTCACTTAAAACACACAGTCTAATATAGCATAAGCTAATACGATTTTGTAATATGCACTTTGAAAAGCTATAATAGGCTAAAAGACCACCAGGCAAGTGATGGGCCAGAATAACCAAATAAAAGGTTAATCAAAAAATCAACAAAATCATTTAAAATAACACAACTCTAGATTCAAACGTGTACAAAACATTTTAGTTGGATTTTAAAATATTTATAACAGAGCAAGAATTGTGAAACAAAGAAATGCATTTGTTTCAGGGTCCATTTACTTGAAATGGTGTTCCTCGCTTACTATCCAGTAAAAAACATATCCTTGTACCTTTTTTGTCGTTGTGTGATTGCTCGTCTAGGTCCAGAGTTCAGAGGTGGGGGAGAGCTGTGCGCGGGTTGTGAGTCGCCTATCGCCGATCGCTTCTTGCTACGCGTAAACGAGCGCTCTTGGCACGAGACGTGCGTAAAATGCGCCGTGTGTCTGAGCGCGCTCAGCGGCACCTGTTACTGCAGAGACCGTCTCCTCTACTGCAAACACGACTATGAGAAGTAAGGACTGTCTCTCATCACAACACCTAAAACTACATTATGACAGCAAACATCGTACACTGTAGCAGTGGAAGCAGTGTACAATGTGCAGCCACTGAGGCTTTGGCAAATCTGTTTTATTATGATAAAAATACAGATGTTGAGCCATTATTATGAGTGTATTTAGTTAAATCAACACCAGTATCTGACTGAAATGCACATTTTTATAGCCTATTCAAGCGCTAGTGTTAAAGTGCAAGGGCAGCCAGTCTTGCTGCTTGTGTAAAAAGTGTAAAACGAGTATAAAAAGAAATGTGCATCATCTTCAATACTCTAACTTAAAAACAATGTACTGGATTGTGACAAAAGTGTTACATTAGATCTTACATACTTATAGTTTTATTTATTCTAAATGTATTATAATTTAGAGTAAAATCTCACATGCCCATGCATTGGTTGGAGGTGGAGCAGCAGTGTGGAGCTTGTTATCATTGTTTTGAAAAGTGTCAGACGGCTTCCAGCGGCTCTAGCTCTCCCACTGTACTGGCATCTGGAGGAGAGGCACTGGCCACGGACAGGGCTATTGTGATGTGTATCCAAAAATATGAGTGGGAACCCAACCTAAACAGACAAGTACTGACCTCAAGTTAGCGATTGTCAGAGAAAGTGTATTTTCTCATAACCGTTCCTGGTTTACATACTACATGGCAGACTGGCTTGTTGTGAGTCAGTGCCAGTGTTGGCACAGAGCAGCACTGGTGACCTTCAGGAGAGCAGCAACAATGTCTCCTTGTTTTGCTCTGGCCCCTCTCAGCCCCTCCATCTCCAGCAGGTGTGCACTGTAACATGTGCCCAATAACATACAGTATGTGAAGGAATTTGGAAAAACAACTTATAACCATTGTTCAGCCAGGTGTTCTGTTATTGCTGTCTGGAGATAGTGACACCAAAATGTACTATAAAATACACAAAGTCGATCATTGCAATATTTATAACAATTTAAATAATTTTTAAAATTGAATATAAAGTCAAGGTTGAGACACACGCCATAACAACAATTCACTCTACAAGGCTGTTACCAATATGTCTAAGTCATTACAAATGTTTTGGAGGGTGAAGCCAAAGAGTTCCTCTGCTAACCACTCGGCCACTCAGACCAACAGAGTTATAAATTCCACTTCAGATATAGAATACAGAAATGTGCATATTTGAAGTGGAATCTTTAATTAGAAAATAAGTGAATATTGATAATTATTTTAAGGTTCCCTATACATATTGGTTAAAACATTTACATTACAATTGTTGCTTGTCCCTCCTCTATCCTTATATCTTCACTACACCAAATAAAATCCTTACTTATTCATAAAATCACGGCTTTTCCTTCATATAATCCTAAAAAAATAAAAAATAAATAAATAATAATAAAAAAAATCTTCTGTCTTTGATTCACGTCTGACCCATCCCCCTTTTCATATATATGTGAGCCTGGGGCAACAGTTTAGGACAAATTTGCATAAATGAATAAATTGAACTTGCTAAAAAGTCAGTGGGCCTGGCTCCTATTTTTGATTTTAAGGATGATATAAACAAAGAGATAAGGCATTTAAAATATCGAGTGTTTTGAAATGTAAAAAAAAAACAAAAAAAAAAACTTAGGGATATGGCAATATGGCTGTATCCTGGTCTCAATCTGTTATGGAAATGAGGGATTAGACACAATAAACTCAAGTACATCGAGGATTTATTTTTGTTTTGAAACCTCGAGACATTTTCTGGAAGTGCATTGGATTGTAGACCAGATGTTCAAGACAAAAGCTTTATTACAATACACTGTTCTCACCTGGGACATAGCATGGATAGCACTTAATGAAAAATTGTTTACAAATTGAGGAGGAAGTTTTGAAAGCAAATAATCTGGATATTAACAGATTAAGCTTTCATTACCTATTTTAAATAATTGCACAAACTAATTAAAAGTTTGCTATAAATTTGAATTTACATATTATGACAATGATGCAAGTTACTAGCAGAAGAATTGCCAGTTGTATTTATTTCTGCCAGTTACTGTTATGAGCAAATTTTCAAAATAAGTTCATACATTTGCACTACCTTGTAAGTAAATAAAAAGGTTTAACTGGAATTAAGTGCTAATTTAATTGTTACAATGTGAATGTATCTATTCCTTCAGTGCCTAAAAAGGAATATAAATGACATTCAATATTAACTATCAACTGTCTATAGACAATACAGGCTTTTTACCTTTGCCATTTACCACACAAAAAAATGTCACGTTTTTTCCACCAGAGACTGAACTCTGCTCCAAACTACTGACAGAGCACTTACCTCTTGCTCTAAAAGACCCTAGCTGATCATTGACAATGACTGAATACAACTTCAACTAGTGACATAACTGAAATAAACATATTGCCACGGCAGAAGAGAAGTATATTCATATACACATTTGTGAAACTTTGAAGTGTGTGGTACATTCCATAACAGCAGCAGCCCATGAGCAAAGACGCTGATGTCAAACCTTGAACCCTGCAGACTAAAGCCACTTCCCCCGGTCAACCCCCGAGAGCCGGGCAGAGCAGGCAGCAAAGGAGCTCTAGCTCTCTGTGTAAGTCCCATAAGCAGTGGGGTCTGGTTTAACCCTGGGCTTTAGGAGGGGCACCAGCGGCACATTTTTAACTAAACTATATTTCAGAAGACAGACCATAAGAGCATGCGGACTGTCTCCTACTGTTAACGATTAGTTATAATAACACTGTTAGACTGAAGAAAAACATTCTCGCATTACATATTATTTCTGGACTTTCTGCAAAATGTAGAACCATGTAATTTTAATCACCCTTTATTTTCCACTTTTCAGCCCCTGTCCTTTTAGACATCGTTCATAAATGACTTTGCCTGGGATCCAGATTACACCCTTACAGAGAAATATCATTCTGGACTTTCAAGGGAATAAACTATTCTAGTAATTTTTACTGATATACTTAAGATATCTTTAAGTCAAGTTCTTTGCACTCTTTGATGTACCCTATCCCCAAATCCAAAATGAGAGGATTGCATCATCGGGGGTAAAGTATATTTTGTTAGCTTTGTATTATGGTGTTATTATAATATATTACAAGCTACAACTTATTCTTTTTTATTTTACCATATGTATGTAAACTTTGAGGACATATACATTCGTGCTAGTCTCAAGCTTGGATAAATGCTGAGGGTCCCTCAGGGAGAGCACAAAAAAAAATTCAAATTCATACAATATAAAATATTATTTATCATGGCTTTTCTAAAACTATAGGTAGTATAATATTTCTGCTCTCCCTCCCTCCTCTCCACTCTGTCCCTCTATCCAGTGCCTCGTTTATCACTGTCTGCTTTGTAATAATATTTCTCTATTCTAAACCTCATTTCCTTCTTGTTGAGATTGATAGCAGTGATGACACCAAACAGTTTATCTCTCTCTTTATCCCTTGTTTTCTCTTAATCGCGCCCCCACCACACCCCCTCGTGCCCACAGTGCCTCCCAGTGTCTCTTGAAGGCGCTAGGATCCAGAGACTGATTGGGTGCAGTGCTAATTATCCAGTCCCCCGCTGCGGTCTTGTGATGACAGCTTTGACAAAAGAGCTACTGGGAAATACTATTAAGAAGAATTATGTAACAACAGTTTCAAAGGAGAACATGTGTTTGACTGTTACAGGCAAGAAGCATAGTCAAGAAGCATATTATTTACACTTAAGACTAGATCAAGTACAATGGAGTTTTGAGAGATGGCCTCATTTGTTTTTAAGAACAATTTGGCTTCTACTCTTGTTGTGTTTCTATCTAGTATTTGACAAAGGTACGCTATGGTGAACTTTTTAGAGAGGGGGGAGGGGGGTCTGCAACTTGCATGCCTCCCTGGAGATGCTTTGCTATGCCTGGAATCTTCCACAGTATGGCATTAAATTTGCAATTAGTTAATCACAAGTGTTTTTATTGTTAAACAATTAATTTGAAAAATATAACATTTCCATGGAGACAAGCAGGTGTTTAAGCTCTTTCACCAGAAAAGTTACATAGTGTACCTTTAAGTCTATGTAATGTTTTGTTTCTGGATATGTGGATAAGTGGATATTGGTTCCCTAGCCAATCCTGACTAAATGGGTCCCATTTTGGCCTGGTGGTTAGCACCCTGCCTAACAGTAAGAAGGTCTGGATGAGATTTTGTATGGAGCTTACATGATCATGTCTGAGTTCCCCTTGGTGCTCAGTTTTCCCCTTCCACGACAACCATGAGGGACAGGTGGGCAAAAAATGACAGTGTGGTCAAATCAGCTCTGGCTGTCTTATCTCATCATCTGACTATCTACAAATTATTTTCTGTAACTACTAGGCCTGTCATCATAACACATTTTGAAGTGTGATATATTGCTGAAGTACAGATGATAAACAGTAAAAATGATGAAATGAAACCATAAAGCAGAATTATTCCCAATACTGTTAAAAACATGAGCTGCAATAAATAAATAAATAGCAACAACACTTAAGTACTTAGTTTGCATCTGTAATGAGTCATAAAAGTCATTTATTCAACCCTCTACACTCAAATCTTATTGTAGTACAGAAAAATAAACCAACTGTTCCCTCTAGTGCAAAGAACAAATACCCATGATAAATATTGACCCTCAAAAATATTCTTCCATGTATTGAAAGATATGCTGATATCGTGACAGGTCTAGTAACTGCACTTTAATAGTCAAAATATGGCCACATACACTGACAAACACATTGATATTTGTTAATCAGAATAACTTATCCTTATATCAAACATTATGTTAGACATTCAGTAATCAGAGGGGGGCAGAAAATAGCCACAGTTAGACAGGTAAAAATTTGAAGATGTGTATTGGCAAGCTGAGAATCATCAAACCTGTGCAGAGTTGGAGGGCAACTGTGCCAGTAATGCAGTAATTATTAGCAGTTTTAATGACTCCTAAAATACACTAAAATCACTTAAAAAGCAGGAAAAGCA